TTCAGGCAAGGGGAGAGGTAAAACCTACATTGGTAAGTTAAATATAATGTATTATTACTGAATATATACTGATATGGTAAAAACATTGGAGGAGTTATTTATATTGGAGTAATGTTTTCAGCAGCATCAATAAATTGTCCCGGGGCAGGGCGGGGGCAATCTACAAATATAGGGTTGGCTCTAGAGTTTGAAATCTGGGTTTGCTTTAAGCAAGTTGTTTGTATAGAATAGTAGAAAACTCATCATTAAAACACATTTCCTCATTTAATACTTATTTAAAGTCTGCAGTGAGATGTATCTTATTGCTCATTTATATTTAGAGTATAAATTATAATTTACCAGAGCGTAAGTTTTGAGAGATCAAAAGCCTCAGGTGGATTGAAGCATGGCATACTGTGTTATTGTGTGCACAGGCATTATGCAACCAAGGCTGAAAGAAGGTAGCAGAGTAAAAAATTAACCTAGATATGCCTTGATGTGAGAGTAGACTTCCAATTGAATGCTGAAATATATACATACCTCTGCAACCCTGTGCCTGGATGGTTTCTGCACAAAATATTACCAGGTCCTTCTCTTAGATTGGGAAATTTGTCTTGACCAAGGATTTAAACCATGACTACATAGATACTCAGGTTCTGAATCCAAAGCTTATTTGATGACTTTGGGCTGAACATGATTAAAGAAACAAACTAACAATATTTTAGTATTGCTAAAATAAAAGGAGAAATGTATTCTCTACTCTATGTTTCTTAGAGAAAGGATGAACCACCACCAGCCCTGCTAATATTAAAGTTCAAATGTGGTATTTTCAAATACTAATGATCACATGGTCATGTTTCTTTTTTTTTATTAAAAGTTTTAGAAATTTTTTACAATATATAACCCAAAACCCTCCCCCCTCCCCCCTCCCCCACTTCCCAGAGCTGATTACAGGGTTACAAATAAACAATCATAATCTAACGACATGGTCATGTTTCAATGACAAAATAACTAAAAATCAAAATCAAACATATACTATAAAATAATTTTCTGACCTATTATTTTGGGCTTTTCTATGAAAGATGGAAATAAGATTTTTTTTCAAAAAATGAATTTGCATGTCTCTAGATTGTGGCAAAAACACAATTAAATAAATAAACACTGGCTGTAACAAATAAACACTGGATTGTTAAGCTAGAGCTATATTAATTGTGACCATAACCCAGCATGGGTCTGCTGTACATCAACAGTTACCCATAGTGGAGACAGACAGACATACGTGATCTAATATTATAAATAACTTATGGTATGGAGATAACATTCACTTTTTCAATAGGTCTTGCTTTCAATAAGTGTGCTTTGTATTTTTAGTTTGGGGGTAACCACTGGAATTACATTACATCACTGGGTACATTTTGTGTATTCTATCCTGTTTAGAAGAGTGAAGGGGTGGGTTTTTTATAATTAGGATTTAGGACAATTATAGAAATATAAGGCAGTATATTTCAGTCAAATAAAGGGTTTCCATGCATTTTTTTCTCCTTGTACATCCAAACCCTGCCATGCATACTACATGCTTCTGAAAGTTTGTTCTAATAGAACTTCATTATTTGAGCTTACACAATTAATTTGTAAATTACATGTACGCTGACAAAGCTTTACATAAGAATATGACCTTTGAATAATATTAGTTCCTGTTTTGAAAAAGATTATTATGACCTCTTCCTTTCTATCCATTTTCTTAATGGTTTCTTCATGACAAAAGCAAAACTGAAAGAAAATTGCCTGCCTTTGTAAGATTTGGAATTATATTTTCCTGATGAAAATCAATAAGAAATCAAATCTAAAAGCCTAAGTCTGTTTTTTCCTGTCTATCTGTCTTTTGCAATAATCCATCATCAAATCATTTTTTATGTTTAACCTCTGGAATATTTGAAGGTATTATATCAAGGTAGATTGATAAATGTATCCTGTCTTACACATTTTAATGCTTTGATCAGCAACGGAAAGAAACAATGTGTATTAAGATGTTACAAATCATTTATGTATTAGAAATATCCAAGTAAAATCAGTTGCAATAGAGTGAAATAATGGCAATGGCATTGTATGGTCAGGCACACAAGTTATTGTCAAAGTTTTCTAGAATATTATCTTTATTTTTGATTTATGATTACTTAGCTTATGAAAAGTCCAGTATAAATTCTAATTAATTTCTCACATTATTAGAGGTAGAGCTTTAAAATGCAGTATAAGGAGAATTGAACATGTTTTCTATTTCTCTATTTCCATAGAGAAAACAGCACTGATATCGGAAACTTACTGAATGTCTAAATTGCATATTATACTCAAACTCAATGTATTTTCTTTGGTGTTGAATTAGTAATGGAATGCAAGCTCAATCCCTGAGGTCTTAAGCAATGATTTGTGGAATATAAACCTAAAAACTGAGTTTACTTAATAAGCTAATTCTTACAATAAACCATGGCTTAATAACAGCATACCAGTTCAGCCCCTCAGTTTAGGAGGCTGCAAGATAGCCTCAGGTGTTCCTTTAAGTCAGGGGTAGTCAACCTTGGCTCTTTTATGACTCGTGGACTTCAATTCCCAGAATTCCTGAGCCAACTTAGCTGGCTCAGGAATTCTGGGAGTTGAAGTCCACGAGTCATAAAAGAGCCAAGGTTGACTACCCCTGCTTTAAGTCAAGGATGGACAATACATAACTCTTGAGCTGCATCTAGCTTTTTAGCCCCCATTTATATGTCACAGAGCCTTCAAGAGCATACAGAGTCAAAGCTCAGACCCCCTTTGTGTGTGTGTTTTACGGTTGAAATTTTACAATTAAACCTTGCAGAGGCTTATGATAGTGTTACACTCCGTTCATAAAATCTCAGGCAATTTTTCCCCAATTTTGGAAGTTGTAAAGCAACAAAATAAGTATCTTACGTCTATACCTATGCTATGCCTTAAAGTTACTCCCAAATTAAGTCTATTTTTTTAAAAAAAATGTTATGTCACCTCACATCACACTGCTATGACGTACAGGTTCAGCAGAAAATTGTAATTCAATCCCAAACAGATGTCCCATTCTTCCTGTACATAGTGACAACCACTTATTTTTGAATGTATAGTAGAATTGTATACCTGCAGTTGTGAATATCTATATTGTATGTTGTACCTCAGTGGATATATTTCCTTAGGAACATAAGAATCTTTCTTATACCAGATCAGATCACTGCTCCATTTAGCTTAGTACTGTCAACATTGATTGCTAGAAGTTCTCCAGGGTTTTAAACCAGAATCTTTCCCAAACCCAATAGTGGTTGTCTTCCTTTAATATTCCCCTTCTCCTTTGCCACACAAAGCATATGTATATCGCAGTGTTACTGCTCTATGTACCTAGGTTCTTGGCAAAACAATAATTCTGTTATAAGCATTTTGCAAGCACTATCTCTTATCTTCTAAAATAGGGATGTCAAACTCACAACGTCATGTGATGTGTCATGACATATCACGACTTTTTTTCCATTGCCGGCAATGGGGTGGACACGGTTTTGCCATGCCACATCCGGCCCACAGGCCAGCAGTTTGACACCCCTGTAAATCTAGAAGAAAATCTTTTTATTTTTTTAAGTGGGATTTCAAAAATATTGAAAACTAAAAAGTATGTTTCTTCTATTTTAAAAACCACATGGAAAAAATAGCCTGTGGCTAGTAAAACATGGTTTTATTAATTAAATTAGAAACTACAGCTTTTGAAATAGCTTGTAAGGAACTAAGAAGAGTTTTGAACACATTAAATATTATCACATAGTTACAGGTAATTTTTGAGTTATGCGAGGTCTAAGAAACAAGGTTAACAAGAGCTAGATACAGAATATACTATGTGCAGTTTCTTCCCTTTTTCCCTTTCAGTATTAACAGTTACAAAGAGAGAGCACAGCTAAAGAATTGACTGTTAAGAAAGGCAGTTTGAGTTACTGATTACTGAGCTATATATTTTATTGATAATAGTTTCCATGCCTTGATTTTCTGAATGTTATATGCAAAATATTATAGGTGCCATAAATCATACATTTCTTTTTGTCATGTAATTTTTTGCATTTAATACCTATTAATTTACCTATTTCATCTTTATATTTTTAAAAGTTCCATACAATTTATATTACTATTATTTACCTATCTAAATAAATACAACATCCTTACATGAAATGATAAGATACATTGTAATTGTTTCCTATGCTGTATAAATTAGACAATGTCTTAATTATGAAAATATGAACTTATTCTTAATAAATGGGAGGAAGAAATGTGCATTGTTCAATATAGTTCGAAATAGCTTCTATTAATGTTTCTTCTAAACTTTTTTATAAATGTCATCTCAACTAGTAGCTAGGCTATACCTTGTGCTATGGAACATCATAACTAAATTATGTGTTATATCTTCATACTTAAAAACTGCTTTTAATTAAAACACTTTTAAGCAGTCACCTTATTTAATTCATGGATGTCACATAACTCTTTTAATTTGTAGCCCTCTGAGTTTTCCTTTTTCATATTTTTTTTCTGAAAAAGAAAGTTCATTGAAGTGTGAAAGACAAAATAGCTGCATTAAGCTTCTTGATTTGTAGTGATAGCTGTCATCCATCTGGAAACTCCTTAAGTTAGTTGCATGTAATTCTCAGTCAAATCAATGTGACTAACATTCTATATTGATTTTAATAAAATTTAAGTACAACAAATTTACAGTAGTTATAACAATTGTAGCTAGATCTACAAAAAATAGATATAGATAAATTGGTTTCTATTCTGGCTCTATATTCATTCAAGCCCATGATCATTAATGCATAGAAGAAGAAAAATATTGCTGAAGGGCAATGCTAGAATCCTATCAGTTCATAAAAAAAGTATTCCTTTTGTGATGAGACGCATACATTTTTAAAGGAAAAAAATGCCTCGATCTCCCAGTCAATTGTACAGTTAACATGTTTTACATTGAGCTGGATAATTCAAAGGATTCATACCTTGTGATATTTGAAGGGGCAGCAATGTTGAACTTTAGACTGAAGAGAGAAAGATTAATGGTATTTCATTTTTCCTAGTGTTCTTGATACCCCTCTTTTACATTCTGTATTCATTTCTTTGTGCTTGAGGCTAATTTCAACATTTCCTTCAAGCATTATCCCTGGAGAGAGAAAAATCAAAATATCTTGACTTTGATGGACAGACAGGACTTCGGGAATTTTACTTGATGCAGCTGGATCATTAGAAATACTGAAAACAGGTGTGCAATTAAATAATTTGGCAATAAATCTCAGGCAAGATATTTACGGTTATTAATTAAAACAAGTGGTCTATAAAGAGTATGAGCAGCCTCTGTCTGAGCAGGTAAGATCTGAATAGTTTCAGCTCAGCTGGAACGGTAAGTGCTCCAAGCTCTGGCAAGCACAGCCTGAAAAATTAGCTCCCAAACATTCCCATCAAACATCCAGACTCGTGAGAGTCTAATTATATAGTGCAAAATGTACATGTACCATGTACATATCTTTAATCTATATGTCTGCTATCTCACTCTTTGCTCTCTCTAAGACCTATGATTTGTAGTCTACATCCATTTTGGAATGAAGTTAATCTTAGGCTACACCGCTATGTATAAAACAAGTGACATCTTCAAATGGGTTAGAAAAATGAGCCAAAAGACTCTGAGTCATTAAGTGCACATTAACATCTTGTCACATTAACTATAGGGTGTAACACCAATTTTCTCTTCTTTGTCATGATCTAACACTATCCTTCTGTGTGTGTGCATGCTATATACCCACTGTACCATTCAGGCAATATGGTAGCCTATTCTCCATTTTAATATTTATGGTTGGTTCTTTTGATGATTTGCTACAGAGACATATTATCTGACATGCTATCTCTCCTTAAATCAGATATCATCAGGAAAATGTACCAAAATTATATTTGTTGGAGCAAAATAAATATCAAGTTTCAATTAACTGCATAGGAATTTCTTTAGACATTTAAATTTTTGTTTACTGTCTGATTAGGAGTCACATACACACATTTTGAAGAGTAAAATTACACATAAAATGCTTACCCACTATAAGACTGTTAGATGGGCCGCAAAAATCATTAGTGCCACTAAAGGAGTCATGGTATCAAAGGGACACTTAAAGCGTTTAAAACTCTTGGCTGTCAACTAGGTGGTATTCAGATTCTTGGAGTCTAAATCTGGTAAGTTAAATTTATGGAGAAGTACCTTCTAAATATTACCTCTATATAATATTTAGATACTATACAGTATATTGTATAGAACAATTATCATAAAGTATTTATATAATGTAAAAATAAGAATGTTGGTTCTAAACAGCTCCTGCCCAAGGTCAAATAAAATTGCCAAAATCTGTTCTAAAAACCTAAATCGGCAGAGTAAACTTCACCAAACATAAATGTTGAAAGCCAACAGTTACTAATCTTACTTACACTAAGCCTGTTATATCTGACAATATATTAGACTGCTATTCAATAGTACTTGAAATTTCCTATATACCAAGGTTTCTCAACCTTAACAACTTTAAGATGTTTGGACATCTTTAACTCCAAGTTAAAGATGCCTTTAAGCCTTAGTTGCCATGTTGCCAAGGTTGAGAAACACTGCTATATATATAGTGATGCCTGGGTTATTGCAATTCAGATATGGTAGGCTTCATCTATAGCAACTCCTATCAAGATGCAACAAAGGGGAAGCAGGACCATGAAACTATTTGACTCCTCATCTTCCTGAACTATGCAAATAACAACAATACAAATTATATGGAAGAGAACTTGGTGCACAACTTGATCTTTTTTCTATCTTCTTTATTCTTTTGTGTCATGGGATTTGGATAGCAAATCTATAAAGAGGTTTTCATTTTAAATTTTGTAAAATAATTCAAGGTTTCTTTCTCCCATCTTGCTAAAAAAGTAAAAACACCTGCTTATTTCCCTTGCAGTTTCTTTGTTTAGAAATTCTTTCACCTTTGAAGGGGTCAAAATCATTGCCCAATATTTTGCATACTAACATGTAACATGAAACAATTGTCTTAAATAAGGATTCTAGGACAATTTTCCAGGACTGCTGTTTCTGGGGAACTTTATAGTTCCAACATGGCACAACAGATGCTGGCATCATCTCTGGGTGATAAATCATACCTTTCTACTAGTATATTCTTAAGTATGCACTAACATACCTTTAAAAAGTAAATAAACTGTAATTAAAAAAATATTTTTACATACCTTATATTTTGGGGGTTTTTTATAAGCTTATTTGAAAGAGGAGGGGTAACTAAATGAAGAGTACAGGGAACTAAAAAAAATCCTCCCCAGTATATCACAAACAGCTCACTAAATAATAGTGCAGTTTTCAATGCTAATAGAATGTTTTAACACCTGAATACATTCACATGCTTGATTAAACATTAACAACATAAACGCATAAAAGAAGATTATAAGTTCCAATATCTCTTTTCAAGGAACAGCATATTAGCCACTGTTGTGTACTTTTTCAATTACATTTCTTTAACTTATTTCTGTTGCAGAAAACATAATATTATACATTACTTCTGTTTCAAAAACAAAAGATTATATTACATTTAGTCAATTGGAAACTACAAGTCGGCAAGTATATGTTCAAAGATTATCTTAGCTCAACTGAAGTAGTAGTGTTTTCATTAGTCTGCCCTTATTGTGAAATTATCTTTGCAAATATAGATTTCATAATTGTTTCTGCACTCTCTACTCCTACCTGATTTCTCATCTTTTTTTCTTAGCATATTTATCCTGTCTGATTAGATAAAGACAAAAACCTCCTTTGACACCAGATAAGTTTGATCTTAATTGCTGAAAATTAGCTAAAAGGTTCCTTATTCTTACAGATTTTATTTAGTGTTTTAAATTAATTATGAATTATATCTGTCGCTGTCCTCTCTCTGTACCGGTGCTTCACATTAAGAAGCATCTTAATTTTATATCTACCACAATTTTCTGCCATGAAAACCTAATAGACAAAACCAGGTGAAGTGTAGATTCCTAGGAAGGAGGGGCTGAACAGCAGAGAACCAAAAGCAGCCAAATTTAGAGAAAGAGAGTAGTTCCTCCCTAGGACTTCTCAATGTATATCTTTAAAGATGCAATTTAATGTTATACAGTTAATGTTATACAGCATTTAATGATGCTTTAGTTTGGCAAGATTTCTGTCTACAGGAGAGGAACAATAAAGGAAACTGCTTAGAAGTAAATGCGTGTATCTTTCTTAGTTTTGGGAGCCTGACACCAAGACAATGTCAATATGGTACCAGAAAACTAGCATGGCTCTCACCCAATTGGATATAATTTGAAGGACAGTAAGCAAATACAAGTAGTGCTGGTGTTTACAGTTGGATTAAAGCCAAAAGGACATCCAGTTGGCCAGGTACCTAGAGGCAAAAACTCAGTAAAAAAATAATTTAAATTTTTAAAAGATGTATACCACTGTTAAATGGAATATCAGAACCATAAATCAAGGCAAGTTTTATTACATCAGAGCAAAACTGTCAAAATTGAACATTACTAGGAATTAACAAACTAAAATGGATGGAATAGGTTACGTCATATGAGAGGAGCATTAGCTTTTCTACTCCACAAAAAAAAGCACAGAATAAATGGAGTAACCATCATTATTAACAAAAAGGTGATAAAGTCAGTGTGTGGGTATAACCAAAGAAATGAAAGAATGATCTCAATCTGAGGCCAAGGCAAACCAATCAATATTATGGTAATTCAATCTATGCTCCAGTCAGAGATATAAAGAAAACAAAAGCTAAACACTTCTATCAAGTCTTTCAACCCCTTATTGACCCAACAACATTGTATTAATTATAGAAGACTGGACTGCTTAAGCTGGAAGTTAGATAGCATCTGAAGTACTGCAGAAAATGTGAAACAGAAGTCAGACGAATGGAATGAGGCGAAGAAAATTCAGTATTTGTAAGAAACACCTTCTTCCAATAACCTAAAAGATGATTCCTCTGATGGACAACAGTGAATGGACAACACTGAAATCAAGCTATACAAGCAAAGATGGAGAAAAAAAAACAAGAGTAGGTGCTGACTGTGGCTGGGATCATGAACTCTTTGCAAAGTCATAATGTAAACAGAAAGAAAGTCATCAAGCCCCCCCCCCAAATATAATTTTAGTATATGGTGATGATAAAGATTTCATCAACATACTCTTTTTATATCACTTTAAATGTGTTACTTTAAAAATTAAAGATGAGCCAAACAAAAATATTTAAAAGTGCAAAAAATGAAAAAGGAGTAAGGTAGTCCTCAACTTACGACCACAATTGAGTTCAAAATTTCTGTTGCTAAGTGAGACATTTGTTACGTGAATTTTGCCCATTTTACAACCTTTCTTGCCACAGTCGTTAAGTGATTCACTGCAGTTGTTAAATTAGTAACATGGTTGTTAAGTTAATCTGGCTTCCCCTTTAATTTTGCTTGTCAGAAGATCACAAAAACATGACCTTAGGACACTGCAACCATCATAAATATGAGTCAGTTGCCAAACATCTGAATTTTGATCACGACCATGGGAATATTGCCATGATTGTAAGTGTGAAAAACAAATATGTCACTTTTTTCAGTGCTGTTGTAACTTCAAAAGGTCATTAAATGAACTGTTGTAAGTTGAGGACTACCTGTATTATGTTGTCAACTGATATACTGAGAAAAGCTGAAAAAAAGTGGAAAACAAAAGGCAAAGGATATAAAGGAAATTTGTTAAAATTCTGTGTTCCAACAAATAACATTTGTTTGTTTAAATGTATTGGCCATCCTCCTCCAATGGACCATGCTGTGTACAAAACTAGAAAATAGAGTAACAAGAGATGAGAGTTATCTAAGTTGGCCTCTATGCCTATAGGCCTCAAGCCAGCTTCCTCTTCTTCCTTCATTATATTTTACCCCACTGCCTCAGCAAGTGAAAGCATATAGCTAAACTCAGTGCTTTTTTTTGTCATAGAACATACCAGAACAGAGTTCTGGCACCTTTTTTCAATGATTTTCCAAGTTTTAAAAGTAACTTTTGAAAATTTGATGTTTGGTCCACGTGGAGTTGAATCGCCCTGTCAAGCGTAGCAGGTCAGCAGCAAAATCATTAAACGGTGCATGTGGGTTGCTTGTGTGTCGAGTCGATGCATGCGTACTTTGTCCGCGCTGGTTGTGATGATGCTGCTTGGCTTGTGGCACTGCTCGGCTTGTGATTGGTCATGTGGTCGCGCACTGAGTGCTTACTGCGGGCGGCGACTGTTATGTTTCCTTACACAACTGACCTTTATGGATGTGTGTACACTGATTGACTATGTGTGAAAGGTAAATAATTTCTTTATTTTAAAAAATCGTTGGTGAATTGAAAATCTTTTTTTAATTTTTGGTGTAAAATTTACTATGAACATTTGCCTTAAATACAATAAAATAAATTTATGTTAAGAATTGAATATACAATTTTTTAAATAAAAGATTAACAAGATGTGAGTTCCAGCACATTTTTCTTACAAAGAAAGCACTGGCTAAACCTGTCCATTTCAGAAGCTAAGCAATGTCATTCTGCTTAGGATCTGGATTGGGAGGTGGGGGGGGAGGTAGTAAGCAACTCGGAAATACTCTGAAGAAGATAGAGACAGAGATGAATCTGCTGCTTCAAAGGGACTACAACACTGTCTAGGTTTTTCAAGTCCCAGAGCCATGAGCTATGTGTAATACTTTCCTCTTATTGGCATTCAGTTTCATCCAGCAAACTGCAACTTCAAGATATTGGTGAGCATTTCCACTACCAAACTGGAGTTTGATGACAGAATTAGACTGTGTGTCATTAGCATAGTGACAGCATCTAACCCCTGATCCTCAAATGAACTTACTCAGCAGCTTCATTTAATTGTTCGACAATAAGGATAATAAAATGGGACTATTTCAGGATCCCATAACTTAGTAAATATGGAACTAAGCAGAGGTTCCCTAAGGCTATCTTCTGGAGCTGACACTAGAGGCTAGAGTAGAAGCAATGAAAAACAAAGCATCCGGCTTCAAGAGCAGATAGATAGCTAAGCAAAAAATTGCAGCTGAGCAAAAAAAGAGAAGAAACAGGAGTTTGCCAGTAGAGTTCAATAGGAGAAAGAAGAAAAGAGAAAGAAATAATCAGAGAGAACATGCAGTTTCAAGGATTATGTGCTCAGTAGTGAGAGATGAAAAAAATATTTTTTACAAAAATATTTAATATATTTATATGATCACCCATCTTGCAATTACAATTTTGTGCAGTAAACATTAAAACCAGTACAAAAATCATCAAATAAAGATAAAGACAGCCTGATGTAACTGAGGTCATTTCACAATAATTCCATATAGACCATTCCAGAAAATGGACCACCCTACTCTAGTGCCTGGGGGGAAAAAACATCTTCAAGTCCCTATAAAAAGCCAGCAGGATTGCTTTAATAAAGTTTTCACAAAGTCAATTTCCTGTAGTTGTTGAAACATAAATTGCCAATTTAAATTATCAAATGCTTTTTGTGTGTCAAGAAATATGAGCGCCATCTGGTTCCCTGGATGATTTTCATAATACTCCAAAATATTTAAAATAACCCTTAAGTTGTTCTTTATCTGTCTTTTAGGAAGAAAGCCATTTTGGTCTGGGTGAATAAATTCTATTAAAAAACTTTTCATTCTTTCTGCCAAAATTGCAGCAAAGATTTTATAATCCATATTTAGTAACGATATTGGCCTGTAGTTTTTAATTTGTGTAGGATCTGTATCTTCTTTAGGTATCAAGGTAATATTAGCTTCAGTCCATGAGTTCGGAACTTTTGTCTGTATGAAAGTTTCATTACACAAGTCCTTCAGAAAAGGAGTCACAGTATCTTGTAAAGCTACATAAAATTCTGCAGGTAGTCCATCTGGCCCCGGTGTCTTATCTTTCTTTTGTCTTTTAATTGCCTCTATGATCTCCATCATTGATATCTTCTCATTTAACCTCTGTTGCATATTTTCTGATATTTTTGAAGATTTGCTTTTTTAAAATAGTCCTGAATTGCCTCTTCAGAGATCGTCTCAGCCTTATAAAGTAGCTCATAAAAGGCCTTAGCGATTTTTTTAATACCATCATTAAGACAGTGTATTTCACCCTTTTCATCCAGTAATTTACTTATTGATCTTTTTTCTCTTTCTTTTTTCAGTCTATATGCAAGCCATCTACCAGGTTTATTAGCATTTTCAAAAAAGTTCTGTTTGGCTCGTTTAATCTGTTGTGCCATAGTATCAGTCTCAAGGAGATTTAATTTATGTTTTATTAAGTCCATTTGTATCTTCAAATT